ACAGATTACGGTTCGTAGCATGTCTGTCGATGGTTCCGAGGATGGTCTGACCAACAATAGCAAGGCGCTTATCTGCAATGACAAGGCACTTCCACATACCGCAGCGCAAAGTGTCGTGGCGTCCGCAGCCCAAAGGACACTCCTGATGTTGCTTGTAGCCTTTCCCGTTGGCGTAAATCCGGGTCCAGAGGGCCCCCGAGGCCGCGGCCCGAAGGGCTCCTCTCTCCCGGTGTGTGTGTGTGTGTACTTTTTGGACCGCAGATGCTGGGCGACGATGTCAGAACAAACTCTGCCGGGAAAACCAAACCGATCTCCGACGTGGCGTTCAAGTTGGCGAAGCACATCGTCCTTTAGCAGGGGCCCCAACAAGCCTGGAGACAACAAAACGAGCGAAACTTCGCACCACTGATCAGCCGCAAGGGTCGCGAAATTCATGCCAGGCCAGCCGAGGCGACGAAGGGGGTGCCGAAAGGCCGACGCAGGGCCCGCAACCGAGCGCCAAGTTTTCCGGGGCTGGCCGGGCACGCGATCGAAAGAGGTTCGGAGCTGATGAAAACTGAGGGTGGAGGGGTGGAAACTCGATCTCGTGTTCTAAATCTCTTTGGCCCAAAGGAAGATAGGGGGCGCCTGGGTGAGCCGCGCGGGGACTTCTTCCAGGAGAAGCAAAATGGAGAGGCTGCGGTCCACGTCGCTAGGTTTCAGAACCGTAGCGAAACTGCGTCTGAGACGGAGAAGCTCACCGTTGCTTATGCCATGAACCTCGGGGGCATGCGTAGCGGCAGGAAGGGGGGCCAGCCGCCCGGATGTTCCTACATTTCCTACCAAGGGTTTGACTAAGCTTTTTGATTCGCCTCGCCCTAGCCTGAGCTCCAGCGCAACGCTTCTTGGCCTTGGCGTCCAGGCCCTTGTGCCTGAGCGGCTTGCCGACGCTGTCGTCAGCGCCGAGGTTGGGGGCAGCGCAAACAGCAGGACCAGTGAGAGCAAGGCCGAGCCGAGCCGTCTCTGGATGGCCTACCCCGAGATCTTGCTAGACGTCGTGAGGCAGGCCTTGTCGCCAGCGAGAGTGGCACCTATGTCCTCCACCACGACGCACTGCCGCTGCAAATTGCTATCCACGATGCCATTTGCGACGTCATCGAACGATCCGACTGCGTGCAACCCATTATCATCGATATGCAAGGAGTAGGTGACACTGGGCGGCCAGATGATGCTGTCGAGACCGCTGATCGAATTCACGCGGATGAACGTAGTGGCGAAAGGGCAACCTGCCACAGCGCCCCGAATCGCGTAGAGGGCGGCACCCAGGCTGCCGCCCAGGGAAAGGCGCCGAGGAGCTCGGTCGGCGCGACACGCCAACCTAGCGATTGACTGTGGGAGACCGAGCGACTGACACCTGCGCAGAATTTGTTCAATGTTCAAACTTTCCAGCGGCAGCTCCCAGCATACTGTCCAGCGGCAACTCCCCCTTTCAGAGAGGAGGGCCTGTCTCCAGACAGTATCGCTGGCCCCCATGCGCTTCCCAGCCGCGAGCCAGGGGCGGACATTTGTGACCTCCCAAGCTTGCGAAAGAGGCCTTCGGAGTTTGCCCCAGAGCCGATAAGGGGCCCGAAAACATACCGATGGGTATGCATATCCTCCTACGAGCTTCGGAACCAGCATCGAGACAATGACAAACAATTGGGCGGGCAAGATGGAGCTGATCTCCACGGTGCGAACAATCTCGAGCAGACACTCCAAAGCGTCATCTGGAAGGAAGCTGGAGTGTCGCACGTGGAATCCGTCTGTGCTCACCGCGGACCCCTCCTTGCACCCCCTGCTGACCTTCCTGAGGGCGCTGACGTCAGGCAGATCGATCTCGAGGGGCGGCTCGAGGTCGCGAAGGGGGGGGGGGGGGCGATAGCTCCGCTTTCCAGGTGGCTTAAAGGCGAGCGGCTTCCGAGGCCAAGATGGACAGGATCCGACGCGATGACTCGATCGTCCGCCAGGACTGTAGTGGGGGGACCAAACCTTGGGGGCTCTCTCGTGACCTGATGGGCTCTGCGGTCTTCTCTTTCAATCCCGCACTTGATCCATTTGCTCCAAGCGTCTCTACATTTGGTCTTGGCCACCAAGGATTCGGCGTCCACGGCAGACGTGATAAGCGACGACAGGTCCTTAGCTTCTGTCAGCGAAGATAAACCTGGGGCGGCTCTGCTGGCGAAAGCATGCACCCGGCGAAAGGAGAGACATAACTGCCCTGGCTCGCTACGACCCAGGGGGGGGGGGGGGGGCGGAAACGGCCGTCCTCGCCGCTTCGACATCCTTGGAGCTGCAGGGCTGCTGCAACAAGTGACGACAAATCGTGAACCTTCGAGCGCAGCCGTCGAGTGGCGCGCAAAACGGGGTGCCTAAGGCCTTTTCATACCCATCTCGGCAATGGACTTCCAAACCGCGCCGGGGACTACTTTGCCGCGGGGCCCCAGGACAGGCTGGCTCTTCTTCCGCGAGGTCGCCCCAGGACCCATGAATCCGAGTGAGGTTGTCCAAAGTCGCTGGGCCCTGGCCTCGTCGCGCAACTCGCGCGGCCTGATCGAGCTCCTCTCGAAGCCCGCCAAAATCAGCGGACGGCGCTTGGGCGGGGCCGATCGCCCGACCCAGGCCGATCCTCAGAGGCTTTCGGAAAGCCATGGCACGTGAAGGCGCGAGATGGGGGAAGAGGGGCAAACGCGCGGGGGGATGAGGCGTGGGGTCAGAGTCCCCGACCACCCCGACCGCCTTACCATGGCCGCGGCTCACCCGGGAATCATCGATTGACCGCGTTCCCCCCGTGGTCGAGCACGCGCCCGCCGTGTCTGGAGCAAGGAGTTGCCCGTGGGCGACATCTAGAAAATCGGAGTCCTTGACGACGGGGGCTCCACGTTGCAGTCGCCGCCCACGAGCCGTGGCAATCCCGGCGCCGACGCGGGGTCGCCCGAAGATCTTTAAACGCCCAAGTTCACATCTGACAACCCGATGCCGTGCAGAAGGTGGATGCTGGCGACGCGCGCTGCAGGGCCTCCTGGGGCATGGACAACTCCCCTGACGGCTCGGCCGCTGAAGAGATCGTGTTCTCGCAGCGGGTGGAGGCCCAGGAAGGCCGTGGCAAAAATCGCAACTACCCCTCGCGTGCCGTCATTCGGTCCAGGGAGAGCGGGGCTCCAGAAGCCTTTCTTACCCTGGCGGGGGGCCCAGGCAGGCGCTTGATCGACTTCCTCGCAAGTTTGCTGCTGGTGTTCCTGCAACAAGACAACGCGGGGAAGACTACAACGTAGAAAAGTTTGACCTGGCCCCCTGCCAGTGACATTGGCAGTGGTGAAAACAAAAGAAATCAGATCGGGATCCCGGGGCGTCCCCAGGAGAGGCGAGGAAACGAAGCTGGTGCCTACGGGCGCACATGGGCCTGACTGAGAGCCAAGGGGGCCATGGGGGTGACATGATGGCTTTAGCACGAGCATTGACTTAACTTAAAGCCCTCCAGCATCTCCCAGAAGCCTTCCCCGCGGCCTTTCGGGCCCTGCCAGTTTCCATGCTAAAATTGCGACGAAGCGATAGGTGCGGCAGCTGCCGGACCGCCCGACGCGATCTCCGCAGCCCGCTCACGCACTGATGGGCCAGCCGCCGCTGCAGCTGCTGCTGGCTCAGACGCGCATGAAGCGCCCTTGGAAGAGACAGGGGCAGGGTCGGGGGCCTGCGGGTGAGGTCCAGTGTTCTCTTTATCCTCAGAGTCACCCTCAGCGCGTCTACGTTTAGTCTGAAGCCTGCTAAGAAGTGCCTTGTGCTCCTCCTTGGCCTTAGCTGCGGCCTCGAGTGCTTGCTTGGAAAGAATGGACGTGGCCTCCTCGAGGCCCTTCTTGAGCTCCGTGGCGAATTTGCCTGTCTGCTCCTTTTCCTCCGTCGAAAGAACGATGTCACCCTCCTCCGCCTCGTCGAGAAGATCCCCCAACGTGATCGGGATTTCATCGATGATACCAATGAGAATAAACCGAACTGACCATGGGGAAGATTTGGCAGGAGTTGACTCACCTGGAGACTTAACCTGTGCGTGTAACTCATTGACCGACTGCTTATGGAGATCCTCAACTTGCTGACATTCAGACTGAAGGCGCCCAACTCTGGCTCGCTGTTCTTCCACTGCTGCCTGCATCTCCTCGAACTTTCAGACTGCCTTAGCCAGGCTGTCCTCTGACGCTCGCAGAGAGTTGAACGCCTTGTTGATCTGCTGCTGCATCGGCTGCTGCTTGTTCGCGGCCCTCTTGCTGGCGAGGGCTTTCTGATAGCTGTCGGCGGACTTCGTTATCCCCGACCTCTTGAGCATGCTGGTGAGGGATTCGATTTCGGACTCTTCCAGGTCTTTGATGTCAACGTGGGTGACCTGCCCAGGAGGCTGAAGACCAGGGAAAGCAGGACGATGCACACCACCAACATCTTGAGATGCCTGTGGGTTGGCCCACACCCTTTGCGGAAGTCGAACTTGCGGTCCTGGGTCCGCACGCGGGGCTCCACAATGGCGACATGTCGTGGTGTTGGCCGCGTTCTTCCTGCACGGGCACTGGGAGCATGCCCAACGGCTGTGCCGCGGGTAGAAGTGTGGCCCGTGACCTCCTTGTCCGAAGCCGCCGTAGAATTGACCTGGAGGTAGTGGGGCGCGAGCGAAGGGCGAGCTTGCACACATCCCTCCTCCTGGCCCCTGCTGGAAACCATTCCATCCATTGCCTCCTGTCCCAAAGGCCCAAGGAGCACCTGGGAACGCCCTGGCTCGGTAATCATTGCGGGATGTCTTCACCAGCGCACAGTTTAGTGGAAGACGAGACTGCTCCAACAGGAACTCACAAAGCAGGAGGGATCCTCGTCTGACCAGGCAGAGGAGGGACGTAGAAAGTGGTGGCCGCAAGTCCCTCTTGCCAGTCAAGTTCGGTCCTGAGCAGAAACGCTACGGACTTGAGCCAAAATGTCTACGGAGAGGAGGAGGAGGGAGGAGGAGGAGGAGGGGGACGAGGAGGAGGAGGAGGAGGAGGAGGAGGAGGAGGAGGGGGAGGAGGTATGGGTATCTTTTCCTCTTCTGACCTCGCCCACTTTCTCAATCAGCACCACCGCGTCATCGTCGATGTCGACGGAGATGCCGAGCGCCGCCCCGCCGCTCCTGTCTATTGCGACTCTGAACGTGGAACCCCCTGGCCACCGCGCAGGCGCCTTGGCCGCCGGGGACGCATGGTCCGACGCTGGGGGAACGAAGCATGACATAAACATTATAGGAAGGAGAACGATGCACATACACCGAGTCTGGCCAGGCCCAATCATGAGCCCAGGATCGGTGCATACGCCCTCCTGCCTTGGCCAGGGAGGCATCTACACAGATCCTGAGCCCAGGGTGGACCTGGGCAGCATCGGTCTATGTGCATAGTTCTCCTCGCCCAAAACATGAAAACTCGGAGGTCTGCGCGGATTTCTCGGATCGGCGCTGGAGCCCCCTGGCGGCGCCTCCGGCGCCGCCCCTGGCGCGCTGCGCGCGCCAGGGAGGGGGGTCCAGCGCGGATCCAAGAAATCCGCGCGGACCTCCGAGCTTTTAGGTTTATGCCCTTTTTCGTTCCCCCAGAAGCAACTGGCGTCGACCTTATGGAGATGGACTCGTTCGGATGCAGAAGATGAACGTCTTTCCCACAAGTTTCGCACTCTTGCAGCGCGCTGTCATCCACCGTGTCCCCAGGAATGTCCATCAACGCGAAGCACTCTGGGCACTGCCGGCTGCCGAATCTGATATTCCCGCATCTTTGCCGACCGAGGAGCTTCAGATTCTGCATCGCCGCGGTTACGCAGACATGAAGCTCGCAACATCCTCGGCCACAGGCGTTGATGCCCCCCATGGCGTCAATCAGGCGCATAGCCTTCGTCTCTCGCGGCGTCTCCTCGAACTCTGGCACCTGGCGTCTCGAGGTGTTCAGCGAGATCCGAATCCTCCCAGTCTCGCGGCGGCTCCGCGGTGCGCCTGCGCGCCTCAGGGCCGCCAGCTCCCCGGATTCCGGCATCGGCGGAGGGCGAGCCGACCGCTCAGCCAACGTCTGCACGGCGACAGTCCTTGTCCGAGGGGCCCGACGCCGCGATGAGCCACTTGAGGCGGTCGTCTTGGATACCGCCCAGCTGATCTCTGTGCCGAGCTCCGTGCCCGGCTCGGAGAGGGCTCCCTGCGAGCGGGGGGAGAGCGCGCCGCCGCCCCTGGGCTCGTGCGCGGCTCCTGCGGCGCAGGCCTCGGCGCCCTGCCGAGGTCTCGCGGGGGCCTCCGCGAGCCTCTCCTCGGCCACCTTCAGCAGGCACACGCTCACCACGCTTTCGGTGGCTGCGTAGGGGACGAGCTTGGCCTCGAATTGGGCTGCAGGCGCCGTCGGAGTCGTCCTCCTGCAGAAAGTACAGGGAATGGCGCAGGGAGGAGGCAAGGCTTCTCGACTGCTGAGAAGGCTCTGGACCTTCGCACAGTCGGCAGGATCTACAAAATCGAATATAGTCGCACCCTCGATAAGCATGCCGAAGTTTTCCACGAAATCACTGCTGGGAACACCGACGATACCAGCCTCTCGGCTCAGAGTGCAGTGGCCACTAGTGGCTTGGTCGAGCAAGAGCTGAGTCACAGCAGTCGAATTCCGTAGGCGATGAAAACAAACGGACTGCTGCCACTCCAATACGAACGCAACCGTAAGGATGCACAATGACAAGCAAACATAAGCCCCAGTGTCACATAGAGAACCGGTGCCAATGGCATGCATTTTCTTGGGCTTGCTCTGTGTCAGTTCGACAAGTTGTAAGAACAGGACTGGAACGATGGCGAGGGATCTTACACCTCCCAGATGTATGCCGCATGCAATCCCCAAAATCCACCAAGGGTTATTCGAATCAGTCGCTAGGCAGTCGGCAAGAGTCCAGACGCCTACTAAGATATCGAGCCATAGTGAGTGGTAGGGAATGGTAACGAGGCATACAGGCGCCACAATGTTGGTGCAGACGGCGTACGCAATTGTGACGCCGCCGCCGCCAGGGTCTAACAGCGCCGACGACATCAACCGCCACGGGACTACCACAGTCCCAGCCACGATGAAACACAAGACAAATGCCTTGAAAGCCAATCGGCGCTTCAATGAAAGAAGATACTCCCGGTTGGTGCTCAAATCGCACCAATGCCTTAGGGCTGCCAATGTCCGTCGCAGAAATTTCTCGTATCGCCCGCACAAGCTCGGCTGCAGAATTCACCGACCCCTTGGGGGTTGCCTGACTATGAGATCTTTACCCCTCCCCACAACCCCAAGACGGCTCGAGGTAGCAGAGGAGCTCACACACCCCTATTGCTCCGGTGCTTCCGCTTTCTCAAAGTTTGCGCATAAGGTGACTCAGGGAACACATAATAATGCCCTGAGAGGGCCGAGAAAACTACCCAACGTTGGGCAAGAAGGCCTCAATACGGTCCCAAGACGGCCTGCACACAAGCCCAAAGACGGCCAAACCGAGCCCCAAGACGGCTGGTGTGGCGCCAAGACGGCCCAAGACATCCCCCAAAGTCCTCAAGACGCGCGAAGACGGCCAGAGAAGCCCTCGAGAGCTCCTGGAAGCCCCCAGGAGGCCCCCAGGACGGTTGAGCTTCCCACGTGGTCGCACAGCAGGAGGCCTCTACTACAGTGCACTTCCGAAGGGAGGCAGCCAGGCCCCCACTGGGGGTGGTGCGGCCGGCGTAACCTGACGGATATGGTTTCCAAGCAGAGCGTCGGAACTCATCAGCCCCAGATCTTGATGCTGGCGCTCGGGCGCCCAAAGAACGCCAAGGGACGCGTCTGCGGTGATCTGATACTGATCCCAAACTTGAATCGGAACTTTACGCCCAGCTGGCAGGGCGCGCCCGAAACAACTTCGTTTGAGCCAACGTGTGTGCAACGAATCGAACGACCAATTGCCCCGCCTACGACAGAAACGACACCATCGCTCTCTGGCATCAACTATTCTCCGCACCTGCGGGAGCCTGGTGTAAGCTAAAAGACCTTGGGTCCCCCAGGGCCCCCGTTACAACCGATGATTGTTCAGAGTGATCGAATTCTTCAAGGCGGCACACCAGAAGGGCTTCAAACAATTCGATTAACCAAATAAAAGGTTTCGCGGACTCTCCGCTCCAAGAACGCTCTTTTGCCCGTCGTACAAGAGTGCCGGTGCAAGCGCCGCAGATGCCATCTAGCGATACCGTTCTTTTCCAGAAAAACCCTCTCCCCTTCGGGAGGTGTAGCTCCCCCCCCTCCCTCAGGATTTTTTTGGGGGGTCGCGATCGGCTAGGGCGCCCAAGATGGCTCCACGAGGGCCTCCGATGCTTTACGATGGCCTCCGAGGCGGCTCAAAATAGCCGACGGTGGCTCAAGATCGCTTCCGACGTACCTCCGGGAGACCCGGCGAGGGCCACGAGACGGTTCTGAGTGCTCTCGGAGCCCCCTCAGGACCCCTCCAGAGGCCCAAATCTCAGGAGGAAAAGAAACACACATACACAATTCATCCTCGATTCCTTAGAACATATAGGAAAATATGGGAAGTGGGGGGGAAGACAGAAACCCAGAAAGTATGGGAAAATATGGGGGGACATTTTTATTTGTGTATTTGTTTGTGTGTCCTGGGGCCCCTTCAAAATCCTTCAAACGCCTAAGGAAGTTCTACGATCTGTGCCTTCTCACCTCTTCGCTTCCGAGGCGCTCTGGGGGGCGCCCAGAGATGGTCCAAGAGAGGCCCGCGAGGTGCCCAAGAGGCCGCCCAGGCGGCCCCAAGAGCGACCGAGAACGGCTCAGGAGCAGCCCAAGAGGGCCCGAAGAGGCGAGTTTGATGTCCCCAGGGGGGGGGACTTGTTCGAAGGGCACCTCTCCTTCGATCGATAGGAGGAGGAAAAGGGAAAGGAGGAGGAGGAGGAGGAGGAGGAGGAGATGGAGGAGGAGGAGGAGGAGGAGAGGAGGAGGAGGAGGAGGAGGAGGAGGAGGAGGAGGAGAAGGAGGAGGAGGAGGAGGAGGAGGAGGAGGAGGAGGACGAGGAGGAGGAGGGAAGGAGACGAGGACGAGGAGGAGGACGAGGAGAGGAGGAGGAGGAGGAGGAGAGAGAGGAGGAGGAGGAGAGGAGGAGGAGGAGGAGGAGGAGGGCCTCCCCTGGATGGCCTGGATGGCCTCCAGGGCCCCCAGGAGGGCCCCCAAGAGGGCCTCACGAGGGCCCCAAGAGGGCCCCAAGACTCTCCCCCAAAAGAGCCCAGAGAGGACCCTGAGATCCCCCAACATGACCTCAAGAGGACTCCAGGGGGCGACTTTGACGGCTCTGTCCTCGTTCTCGTTGTCCTTCTCCTCCTCCTCCTCCTCCTCCTCCGCTTCCTTCTCCTCGTCCTCGGCCTTGCCCTCATCGTCTTCCTATTTCGCTTCCTCCTCTTCCTCGTCGTTGTCGTGGAGATGGTGGTGGTGATAATGGTGGTGGTGATGGTGGTGGTGGTGGTGGTCGTCGTCGTCGTCGTCGTCGTCGTCATCGTTGTAGTCTTCCTCATCTTCCTCCTCCTCCTCGTACGTTGCCCGGAAGACGTAATCCCTCACCTCCTCCTCGTCCTCCTCCTCGTCCTCGTCCTCCTCCTCCCCTCGCCCCTGCGCGGGCCCCAGGGATGGCCCGAAGAGGCTCTCCAAGTCCACCTCCCTTGTTCCCAAAGACCTCTTTGTTCACCCTGGTTGTCCGCTTTGTTTCACTGCATGTGTCTCTTCGTCCCTTTGCCCGTCAACCCTCTTGGGCAGGCTTTCTGAACGAGCTAGCCGGTGGGGGTATGCGAAGCGCGGATACTAATATTACCAACGGAAACAGGGGAGAAGAGTGAGGGACAACAGGGGTGGATTTAGAGGGAAAAGAACTATGCACATGCACCGATTCTGGCCAGGCCCATCCTGAGCCCAGGATCGGTGCATACGCCCTCCTACCTTGGCCAGGAAGGCATATGCACCGATCCTGGGTCAAAAATGGGCCTTGTCAGGATCGGTGCATGTGCATAGTTCTCTTCGCCCGAGGATTGCCCAGGGGGGTACCGAGCGCATGATGGGGCTCCAACCGCTCAGCCTATCGACCCTCGACCCGAATGCAAACGCGCGCAACCAGGGCTCCCCCTCTGAGCTGCTCGCCCCTGCCCCAACCCCGAAACTCGGATAGAACCTCACAGCGGAAGCCAGAGCCGAGCAGCGAGGCCCCTCGTCCTCCTCCTCTTCCTCCTCCTCCTCCTCTTCCTCTTCCTTCTTCTCCTCATTCTCCTCTTTTTCCTCCTTCTCCTCCTCCCCGTCCTCCCCCTCCTCCTCCTCCCCCTCGTCCTCCTCCTCCTGCTCCTCCTCCTCCTCCTTCCCCTCCCCCTCCTCCTCCTTCCCCTCCTCCTCCTCCTCCTCCTCCTCCTCCTCCTCCTCTTTCCTCCTCCTCCTCCTCCTCCTCCTCCTCTCGTCCTCCTCCTCCTCGTCCTAACCTCCTCCTACTCCCCTCCTCCTCCTCTTCCTCCTCCTCCCCTCCTCCCCTCCTCCCTCCTCCTCCTTCCCCCTCGTCCTCGTCATCGTTTTCGTCTCGTCGTCGTCGTCGTCCTCCTCCTCCTTCTCCTCCTCTTCTTCCTCCTCCCCTTCCTCCTCCTCCTCCTCCTCCTCCTCCTCCTCCTCCTCCTCCTCCTCCTCCTCTCCTCCCCCTCTTTCCCCTCCTCGTCCTCCTCCTCGTCCTCCTCTTCCTCCTCCTCCTCCTCATATTCCCCCTCTGCTTGCGACATCTTGGGGTCGCGTGAAGGTGTCTTGGGAGCCTCTAGAAGGCCTCCTGGGGCCTGCGTTGAAGCTTCGGGAGCGCGCATCAAACGCAAAAGCTGGAACGGTACAAAGTATGCACTCCCCTTTGGTTTTTGAAGGAATTGAATCCCATCGGGTTCCTCCCCGGGGGGGCCTTTCGAACAATTCTCGGGCGTTCGG